AAGAGTCCAGAGGAGGACGTAAAGGGGTAGAGCGTGGATAGGGCAGAAAGTGGAGACGAAATCAGACGCAAAAACATGATCAGAGAGCAGAAAAGAAGTCGAAAGGATACATTTTTTTCAGAGAAGAACATTTTCCGTCGCTTTCAGGTTTCGAACCCTGGACCTGTAGAATGAGAGGCGAACTCCTTACCTCTAGACTACGAAAACTCGCATTTTCCTTCAGGCGTAAGTTGATGAAGTGTTGGAACCACTTGGTAACATCTAGACTTATTCTTGAGATAACACCCTGCAGAAACAGAGGGCAAATGTTGTCAAGAAATAGGTACTCAAGCTGGTGGATGTGATCATGGGGTCCAGTAAATCTGACACTATTAGGTTGTAACATTCCTAACTATGAAAGAGGCATGTTCTCAAAGAGTGTCAGTAGGTTGAAAACAACACCACGGATACAGAACCTTTAGGTGGCAGTAGGAAATATGCACAGAGCTGGGATGTCGGCAGTGAACAGAAAATGCCAAAAGAAAATGACATTGCACTAGGGCTCAAACTGCAAAGTGGCACTCTATCCTGGATGGTTTGAGGTGTACATCTCAACTCAGAACCGAAAGAAGTAGCTAACTCACCCGATGCTTGAGTATATTGAGCTGTTCATAAAGCTGCTCACAACAGCACATTTTTCACTCATTAGGTTGATTTTTCTATTGGTTTTAGTTGAATTATATTTATCATGGATCACACCTGTCTGAACAGGCGTTGAGATCATTGAAAAAATACCGTTGAAGTGTTTAGTGTGTGTATCGGGGTGTAGAATTCGTTTTGTAAACTTTTCTTTTTTTCAGCGTCATACGCTCCTTTGTACAGTTGACGACATTTGTCAAAGAAAGTGAATGTGGTCCTAAAAACTATGTTTGTGTTGACAAAGATTTGAACTTTACTTTAACACCAAATATAAACATCTGCGATTTAAAACCGTTGAGATATGTTTCTTTGAAAATACTCCAAAATAGCGCGTTTCCAGGGAATAGCGCACATAAAATAATGGCGTTCTTAGGGAATGCGTACCGTGAAAGCCGCACGAAGCGAAAAGGTTAAAAGCAACTATTAACCCTAAACATCTGATCAAGCCAGCTGGTGCATCTACATTTTGGATAGCGGTCATGACAGCATGAAGTACAAAGAGAGTTAGGTGATACACAGCTCAAACAAGTGAATGACATTCTTACGCAACCCCTTTTCAACAACAAAAAGATACAGTACAAAGGTAATTCACTTTTTTCTGAAATATTGGATGAGAAGAGGAATAAAAAACATTTACCAGGTTTATGACAGGGGACGGGTGAAAACAAAAGAAGAAATGAAACACACAATAGGAAATTATGCAGGCTTTGACTTTGATTATTATGCTCTAATTAGTGGCCTACCAAAATCATGGACAGAGCTACTGAACCAGAACAACACACTGAAACACAGTCAGTGTGCAGCAGTTGTGTGCGAAAGAATTAGTGCTGAAAATCTTCAGGTACTTTGTAGCAACAATCAGAAACTACGACGAATTGTCTTGGGGCGGGAGAAGGTTCAGGTATGCGGTAAAAACTTTTGGTTGAAAAAGCTTGGAGTGGACATAGCAGATAGGTATAGTCTAGCACATATGGTCACGCAAGAATCTCGGCTTCGCCTTCTACATTTTAAAATACTTCACAATATATTCCCAACAAATATCTTGTTGAATAGGATGGGCATAAAATCTTCAGAACTGTGTGAATACTGTGGTGTAGCAGACTTTGTCGAACATATGTTTATCCACTGTTCACGATTAAGGGGTTTTTGGAATCATGTGTTTCAGCTGATCTTCCAAATCACAAATACACATTTTCCAATGACAGACGCCAATATTCTACTCGGCGTGAGGAAGGAGGGTGGAGTAAATAATAGTGTAGTAAAAACAGCAAATCATATTATACTGATTGCAAAAATGTGCGTCAGTAAACTGAGGTATGGTGACGTAAAGTATATGTTTCATATTATTTGATATTGAATTTGAACATAGGAAAAAGTCTCTGTAATATTTAATATCACATATTGCACTCTATTTAAAGTAAAACACAATGCATATCGATAACAACTTTTTCCTATTATTTTCCTTATGCTAGCGGCGACCTTATTTCCATATTTATATATCCATGTTCTTGTTTCAAGGAGCTGTACCTAGGGTTCATCGATAGCTCGTGTGGTGGGGAGAGCATTGTTTTAATATATGCTGCTTGCAGCACAGCACAAATAATCTGAACGAAAGGAAAAGGTAATGCACATTTAGTTACATAGTATTATAAAATAGCATTGTATTATAACACTGTTCAATACCCATTTAGTCATAGTTAATGGACGCCTTATGTTTGGGAAGAAAGATGGCAAGTCTCTATAGTATAACCATTCCCTCAGCACCCTGTTCACCATATTATAATAAACTCTCACTTTATATACATACATGATATGTATATATCTCTCTTTCTCTCTCTCTCTCTATTCCCTTCTTTCCAATTCGCATACTCTTCGCTGTGTCTTTCTATCGCTATCTCCTTCTGTCTCAATATGGCTATCTACCTATCTGTTTAACTTCCCCAGCCCCATAACTTCATTTCATCGCCGTCTTATTCATTGCCCACCACTAAGCCTTTCCTATCTCGCCACCCCCCCCCCTACTGTCCCTCCCGCTCTCTCTTTCCCTCTCACGACTCTCTCTCTCTCTCTCCTCTCTCTCTCTCTCTCTCTCTTTCTCTCTCTCTGTGCGTGTGTGTGTATCTCTCTATCTCTGTCTCTGTTTCTGTCTCTCTCTATATATATATCTCTCCCGCTTGCTCTCTAGTCATTTCTAACCACTAAAACACATTCAGCCAGCATTTCCATAAAATTGGCTTTTTTAAATGTAGGAATTGCTTCCAACGTTAGCAATGGAAGTATAGATCTACCAATAATGGACGAGACTGGGAGGATTCAGACATAGGGTACTTGATTTGGGAGTTTGAGGTCGCTCCCCCTGAGGCGAGGGGATACAATATTCTGTGTAAATTGTGCCCTCTCGACTTGGGTTCGAGGATCCTGCGTCAGAATCTTTCCAAGCTCAATTGGACTCGAAAAGAATACTCGGGGCAAAGGATCAGGGAGTAGAATGCTGCAATTTTAAAGATCATAATCTGCCAACTTGCTATCTACAACCCGCTTACAAATACCCCCAACATACCTGCCACTATACTGTCTTCCCACTTAGCTCCTCTCTACACTTGTTTTGGCCCGATAGAATAGGCTAACACTAACGATGTCACCTTAGCAGAGACTGAGCCCACCATTTCGGAACTTCATGGTGACCGTAAAGATGGTTCCAGTAAGAACGTATATCGATTGCTCTGAGTTATGCTCCGTCATACGTCACACTAGGCGGTTGATATGCGCAAAAAGACAACCACTGTCGCTGCTGATCAAACTTAATGTTGAAAGAAGAATTGAACTAGCTGGTAAAATAGAATCTCCCCCTTCCTTTTATTCGATACCTTAGAGTACTAACCCAGAGCTGTGACCTACTTCCCCATGACTGTGACCTACTTACCCATGACGGTGATTTTCTTGTCCTGATTCTTCACGCTGATCAAGAAGCAGGCGCCGAAACATGCGGCCAAGGCCACCAGCAGGAATGGGGAGGTCAATCTGAACAAGACAATACAAGGGGAGAAAACCTTACTTTGATTTTATTCCTCAGAGACCAACCCAGACTTTATTTTGTGGGTGGTTGGTGATAGCTCAAATGTGGTTTGCTCCTTCTTTCCTATTAAACATCTATCGTCCTTATCTCTCATCCTTCTCCTTTTTCGTGTTTCTTACTCTCTTGTAATACCTCTAATCTTCAGCACTTATATGATCTTATACATTTGCAAGTGCCATAAAACTCTTACTTAACTTTACTAAAGACCTAACTTCACTTAAAGGCTGGCAATGAAAACCAGACAATCTCAGGTATACATACATGATAAGCTATATAGGCACAGTCGTCTTGTTACCAAAGCTGTATCTATTTCAAAATATCTTTTTGCAAATTTTCAGCTTTATCATTATTACTAAGCAAGAAATTTAACTTTGTAAAGGCAAAGATACACACTGGCAAAAAGTCCAAGGTTAAATCACACACACAAAAATTATCTCCATTATTATATGATGTGACAGCAAGGTGGGAAGAAGGAAAATAAGGACGATGTGTGATAAAAATTTGCTACTGAATGGAAATTTGGGGGGGGGGGGTGGATTTATAATAAACAAACAATACAGAAATGCGATTTATAAGTATCTTCACTTATGTTATTAATGCAAACCTCTTACTTAATAATAATAAATAATAGATGGCATTTGTATAGCACAAATCCCCGCTCAACAGAAAGCTCTATGCGCTTTACAATCTATACTATTACCCCAGCAGACCTGAGAGCATTCTGAAACAAACTCAACTTCTTGGGAAGCATGCAGTGCAAGCTGCCATTTATGGACACTAAAACACCATCATACTGACAAGATTTTTTTGCTGTCTAAAGCCGGGTACCCATTCCCACCTGGGTGAGGTGAGGAACATTCATTATAAGTACCTTTCCCAATCACACAACGTCGGGCCCGCGGCTCGAACCTCTGACCCCGAAACCTCATGATTACGAGTCCCATCATCCAGTGCCAGACCTGCGACAGACATCGGCCATCGTGGTTCTCCATTCATTCCTTTGCTCGGATGCTCTCAAAAAAGCGACGTTTCCCTGATCTTTCCCTGTAACCCATTTATTTAGGTTCCCTAAGAAGGTTGCCTTGAGCCTACCCCTGCCTCGTTTGCCTTCAATTTTGCCATTGAGAGCGAGATGTTCAAGACCCTCATGTCTATTCAGGTGTCCCAAAAACTGCATACATTTTTCACTTCCTGATTGTTTTTAACAGTCAGCGTCCCACCTGGGCTTCATCAAGCACTACCTCATTTGATTTCTTTTCCTTCCATGATCCTTGAATCTTACTTCTGAATACTTTTGCATAATCTCGCGTAAAATATTGGTTGTACATATATACCACACTCGGCACCTGTGGTGTAGCAGTTAAGCACTTCACTGTCGCACGCAGGGGACCCATTTTCGATTCCAAAGTGGAGAGAACATTTTTATTGACTACCTCTATCTTTCTGCTGGAAGCTGTACTTCTCTCAGACAAGGTTGACGTTGTAAAGCAGGGTCAGAAGCCCGCCTCCTAAATGATCTAAATTGTATTGCTGGGGGTGTAAAAACATCCTACTTTAAAAAAACAAACAAAAAAACAATACATGACACATACTTACATGCAGAAAACGACAAGACCCATGAACACAAACAGGTAATTTCCCTGAAAAGTGTCGATGTTCTTCACAATTCTTTTGGGCACCGGAGCGATGGATTTTGGCACGCCAAATCTCTTGGTGTGAACAAACTCTGCCCATGGCCTGACGCTCTCCCTCGTCTTGGAGAACCACTCGCGGGCAGACGCGTTAGACAGGGACAAGCTCATCATTCTCAAGGAAGAAAAAAAAAGAAACCAACGATAAAAGAAGAAACTGATAAAAATAAACAAGTCAGAGACCACAGATCTTTAGCATTAAAGCTGAGCAACACCTTATGACACATTATTTTCTATTGAGAAGGGCCCTTGTCACGCCTTGTGTGAATGGGTCATTGAGGGAATTTTGAAAAGGAGTAATCATTATATATAGCATTGTCACTAAAGCGGCCTAAATTGGTAAAGACAAAGTATTGTTCTGTAGAATTTCAGCGATTACTGTGATCTATTCTACATTCTTCATTTAATCTCCTCTTATCACTTATTAATTGAATTTGCCAGAGATCACTACATGGAAATACCACACGCTGTGCGACAGAAGTGTGAAAATGTGGCGGACTCACTGTCACCAGAGGGTAACCAAGAGGAACATGCAAATTTATAGTAGCATGATTCTTTTCATAAAAGCACACCAATACAAGTGAGAGAAATTGGGGCATTCACTGTAGAAAACATTCTTCCGATATCTTCAGTAAAAGTTGAGTTTTATTGAAGAAAGAAAATTGGTCAGTAGCGAGTCTGAATCCCGTTTTATTTATGGACCAATATTCAAAAAGTAAAAAGCATCTTGCCGGAGAAATAATCTAGGCCGATTACTATATTTACTATTAAACACATGCTAGGCTGTGCACTAGATTCTATTTAAAACTTACACTAACTCAAGTTACTAGGCCTATAGACGTTTGTTTAAATTCCGATTTGCATTTTTCATAGGCCGGCACTATTTCTCCGAACGTTCGGGAAAATAAAGCTGGGCACTATTTCTCCGAACACTCTGAAATCACATACTTTCCCGCAAATTTCGGATATTATATAGATCTATAATTATAATATAGGCCTACCAAAGATTGTTCGTATATATACAATATGGTTCAATCGGTCCAAAAAATGTCCGCATTAAATATTTATATAAAGAAATGCTACAGTCAAAAATAGTTTTTCGCTAGAGATATGACGTGTTGCCTATGAAGGGTATGCTGCTCTTAAACTTGTAATGTGTTGTGTTCACTCATGTGCTGTCTAGATCTAGATCTATGGAGGGTTATTGATAACGACACATAGAATAGAACTAGCATCTGCGTTTTTCGCGGCCGCAACCAATCAATCGTGGCTCCATTTTTTGGGCCCCGAATCGGGGAATAAAAGTCAAATATAAAAAAAAAAGAAAAAAAGAAAGAAACCGAACCTCTTTACTTTTGAAAGAAAGTTCACCTAGCTTCACTTCGTCTCTTTCTCACTTGTTGTCACCACCTTGATTTGTTGAATACGTTACATGCAGCTACTTTTATTTTTCCCTCTTTGTGGTGTTTGTTGAATACGTTACATGCAGCTACTTTTATTTTTCCCTCTTTGTGGTGTTTTATTTTGTTAGTGTGTATTTTTTTCTTTCTTGTTATTGTTCTGATGTGTTGTTTTTCTATGTTGTTGTTGTTGTTGTTAGCGATCCAGTAGCATCTGAGCGTTAGATCTTCTGCATGATGCCATTCGGTAATAGTTGCATGTTTGTTCTAATTGTTGTCATGAGAAGTAGAGGCAATTAGATGTGTGGGGTAGCTTGGGAAGAAAACATCCCCTTAAATCAGTTAGTTTTCTACAGAAGAACAGATGATGTTCCACTGTCTCTGAGGGGTAGTCACATAGTGGGCAGGCAGCAGACTGCTTTACTCCAATTCGGTTGAGATGTTGGTTGAGGGGTACATGTTGTGTTCGAAGTTGGAAGATAATGGATTGATCTCCCCTCCTCAACTCATTGATTGGATCTTTGACCAGTGGTTTATTCATGTGGCCATACATCCTCCTTCCTGTCGTACCTGTGGCCCAATCATTCATCCACTCTTCCT